TTAAAAAGTTAGAATTAAATCGGTGCAATGGGTGCATCAGGCTTAGGTTTTGGTTTAGCAAATTGCATTAATCTCTCAAATTTGACACTTCACCTTAAGTAAAAACAGTTTTTTTGTTTTGAATTGTGATATTTTAAGTTTTAAAAACTAATTAAAAACAATAAAGCTATTTTTTCTTTTTCTTTTTATTGTGCTTGCTTTTTTTTGTTCTTTCTTTGTTAATTTATTTAGCTCATCCTTTTATTTTCAAATTTTTTACTTTTATTATTTATTAATTAATCTTATTATTTCATATTTTTTCTTCATTTTTTCATTCTAATTAACTATTTAATGATTTATTTTTTCTTCAATATTTAAAAAGTAAGAATTAAATTGGTGCAATGGGTGCAACAGGCTTAGGTTCTAGTTTAGCAAATTGCATTAATCTCTCAAATTTGACACTTGACCTTTAGTAAAAACAGTTTATTTGTTTTGGATTGTGATATTTTTAATTATAAAAACTAATTAAAAACAATAAAGCTCTTTGTTCTTTTTCTTTTTATTGTGCTTGCTTTTTTTTGTTCTTTCATTGTTAATTTATTTAGCTCATCTTTTTATTTTCAAATTTTTTACTTTTATTATTAATTAATTAATCTTATTATTTCATCTTTTTTCTTCATTTTTTCCTTCGAATTAACTATTTTATGATATATTTTTTCTTCAATATTTAAAAAGTAAGAATTAAATTGGTGCAATGGGTGCATCAGGCTTAGGTTCTGGTTTAGCAAATTGCATTAATCTCTCAAATTTGAGACTTAACCTTTAGTAAAAACAGTTTATTTGTTTTGGATTGTGATATTTTTAATTATAAAAACTAATTAAAAACAATAAAGCACTTTTTTCTTTTTCTTTTTATTGTGCTTGCTTTTTTTTGTTCTTTCTTTGTTAATTTATTTAGCTCATCCTTTTATTTTAAAATTTTTTACTTTTATTATTAATTAATTAATCTTATTATTTATCATTTTTTCTTCATTTTTTCCTTCTAATTAACTATTTAATGATTTATTTTTTCTCCAATATTTAAAAAGTAAGAATTAAATTGGTGCAATGGGTGCAACAGGCTTAGGTTCTGGTTTAGCAAATTGCATTAATCTCTCAAATTTGACACTTCACCTTAAGTAAAAACAGTTTATTTGTTTTGGATTGTGATATTTTGAATTATAAAAACTAATTAAAAACAATAAAGCTCTTTTTTCTTTTTCTTTTTATTGTGCTTGCTTTTTTTTGTTCTTTCTTTGTTAATTTATTTAGCTCATCTTTTTATTTTCAAATTTTTTACTTTTATTATTAATTAATTAATCTTATTATTTCATATTTTTTCTTCATTTTTTCCTTCTAATTAACTATTTAATGATTTATTTTTTCTTCAATATTTAAAAAGTTAATCTCTCAAATTTGACATTTGACCTTTAGTAAAAATAGTTAATTTGTTTTGGATTGTGATATTTTTAATTATAAAAACTAATTAAAAACAATAAAGCTCTTTGTTCTTTTTCATTTTATTGTGCTTACTTTTTTTTGTTCTTTCATCGTTAATTTATTTAGCTCATCCTTTTATTTTCAAATTTTTTACTTTTATTATTAATTAATTAATTTTATAATTTCATATTTTTTCTTCATTTTTTCATTCTAATTAACTATTTAATGATTGAGATTTTCTTCAATATTTAAAAAGTTCCAATAAAATTGGTGATAGAATAGAATAGAATAGAAATACTCGCACATAAATATGCACTCAGAATAACTCTTAAATATAATATTATAATAGATTTAAAAATATTCATTTATTTAATTTTTGTTGTATTTATTATGTTTTTAGATACCTATATTTTTATAATTTAAAATTGGTGATGAAGGTGCATCAGGCTTAGGTTCTGGTTTAGCAAATTGCATTAATCTCTCAAATTTGACACTTCACCTTAAGTAAAAACAGTTTATTTGTTTTGGATTGTGATATTTTGAATTATAAAAACTAATTAAAAACAATAAAGCTCTTTTTTCTTTTTCTTTTTATTGTGCTTGCTTTTTTTTGTTCTTTCTTTGTTAATTTATTTAGCTCATCTTTTTATTTTCAAATTTTTTACTTTTATTATTAATTAATTAATCTTATTATTTCATATTTTTTCTTCATTTTTTCCTTCTAATTAACTATTTAATGATATATTTTTTCTTCAATATTTAAAAAGGTAAAATTAAATTGGTGCAATGGGTGTAACAGGCTTAGGCTCTGCTTTAGAAAATTGCGCTAATCTCTCAAATTTGACACTTCACCTTTAGTAAAAACAGTTTATTTTTTTTGGATTGTGGTATTTTGAATTATAAAAACTAATTAAAAACAATAAAACTCTTTTTTCTTTTTCTTTTTATTGTGCTTGCTTTTTTTGTTCTTTCTTTGTTAATTTATTTAGCTCATCCTTTTATTTAAAAGTTTATTCTATTTTGATATTTATTTAAAATTTACACAAATTTATTATAAAATATTAGCCGAATGAGTAAATCATATATAAGTAAGTGTCTTAAATCAAAAAGATTAGTTGTCTTTAAAAATTTATTCTGATTATAAAGAAGTCACGAAAAAAGGATGAATAAATATTAAATGTTTGAATAATATTATTTAATATTTTGAAAAGTTTTTTTAAATCTAAAATATAAACAGATAGATAGATTTTATTATTGATTTTATATTTTTAAATATCATTCATATTTATTTTTGTAAGTAAATAAATTATTTATATAAAATAAAAAAATTAAATTTACTTAAATAAATTAATTCCTCTTAAGTAACCCTATGATTTCTCCAAAAACGATCAAATAATTTGAACCTGTTAGTGTTATATTATTTCTTTTCAGCATTTAAATCATAATTTACTTATTTACAGTAAATAAGGGAAGAATTAATTAGAAATTACAGTATTTATCTACTTTTAGTTACTAAGTTTACTTTTTTTTTTAAATTGTTTTATTTATCATTTTTACTAATTTCTATTTTAAAGAATGTAAAATAAAATTTTTAATAAGTTCACTCTGTTTTTAGGTATTTTTTTATAAAATAGTGCAATTAAATCTAAATTATTAAAATTACTTTTGCATAAGAAAGTGCAAGAAATTTGATTAAATTTCTAATCAAAAAACAAAATCAAATAAAAAGGAATTTGAACTAATTTTTCTTTTTGCAGGCTAAACAATTTAGTAGAAAACAATATTTCATCTATTATAAACAAATGAAATAGTATTTAAATACTTTTATATAGATTTCAACTATTTTTATTAGTTGAATCAATAAAAATAATGAATTGATATATTTTTTAAAATTAATTTTTACTAATAAATATATAGTCAATTATATAGGTAAAAATATATAATATATTTATTTTTTATAAAGCCATAACAAGGTAGGCAGCTAGCTTTATTTTAAAAATAAAATCATGATGATCTATTTTGGCAGCCTACACCATCGACCCATTAACATTCTCTGTGTGATTAACACATATAGAATTTGTCAACAGTACTGCAAGAAAAAGTATCATTACTCCTATTTACGCAGCCTTTGCCATCGACCCATTAACATTCTCTGTGTGATTAACACATATAGAATTTTTCAACAGTACTACAAGTGAAAGTATCATTGCTCCTATTTACGCAGCCTTCACCATCGACCCATTAACATTCTCTGTGTGATTTACACATATAGAATTTTTCAACAGTACTGCAAGTGAAAGTATCATTGCTCCTATTTACGCAGCCTTCACCATCGACCCATTAACATTCTCTGTGTGATTTACACATATAGAATTTTTCTTCAGTTTTGCAATCAAAAGTACTATTACAGGTTAAGCCATTCCAAGTACAAGTTGAATATTGTCCACATTCATCTGAATTAATGAAAGTGTGACATTAGACGATTTCATTCACTTCAGATTCAACACAAATTCCATTTGTATTCCATTAACACAAATTAGAAAATAAGCATTGGATACGATTTTTTGGCTAGCATAAGGATTGTTGAGCAGCTATAGCAGTTACCATTACTGCAATTAAAAATATTTTTGCAATCGCTATCATCAGTAAATAGTTAATTTTATTTTAATTAGTTTCTTAAATATTTATTTTTATTAAACTTCTTTCCTAACTTTTTTCTTTTTATAGAAAATATTTTTGTTTTGGATACATATCATTCAATTTTATTAGGAATTTAATTTTTTACATAGGAATTTCTTTTATAATTTTTTTAAATTAATTAATTATTTTAATGTATAAAGAAATAACAAATAATTTTTTAGATGAGATGTTTGTTTAAAATAATTTAGATTTATTTATTTTATTTTAACTGTTTTTGTTTTTAGATTAAGACTTAATTTTAGTGTTTAGCATTTTATATTTTTATTTGCATCTAAAAATAAATTAAATAATTTTAATTTTTGTAATTTTGAAATTACTATTTTTTAATTACGTAATTAATATATACCTTTGATACATTTAAAAATGCTAAATTATGATAATGAAATTCTAGGCTCAAAAACTCAGATAGTTGAGGTGTATGTGAATAAAAAACTTTTGGTATTGGGTGTGAGTAAAATATAACAGTAGGTATATGTGAATAAATAAAAAAAGGTACTTAGGTGAATAATTGGCAAATGACTAAATATACACTAAAAGATAGGAATTCAGGGTATATGAGTTAGATAGAGGTTATTTAAAGGATTAGAATGATTGCAGTAGCTCACTCTATTTTTTAAATACTTTATAAAAGAGTGCAATTAAATCTAAATTATTAAAATTTCTATTTCATAAGAAAGTACAAGAAATTTGATTAAATTTCTTATCAAAATACAAAATTAAACAAAATAAAAAGGATTTTGAACAAATTTACCTTTTTGTAGGCTCAGTAATTTAGTACAATAAATTACAATATTTTATCTATTTTAAATAGGGGAAATAGTATTTAAATACTATAATATAAAATGTCAATTATTTTTATTACATGAATTAGATAATAATGTCTTGATAGTTTTTTTAAAATTAATTTCTACTAATATATAGTCAATTATAAAGATAATTAAATAATAATTACTGCAATTAAAAATATCTTTCTAATCGTATACATAAGTAAATAGTTAAATTTTATTTATTACATGGGAATTTCTTTTATAATTTTATTAAATTGATTAATTTATTAAATCAATATTGTATTTAGAAATAATTTTTTAGTTGAAATGCTTGTTTTAAATAATTTTATTTATTTATTTTATTTTAAATGTTTTTGCTTTATAGATAGATTAAGACTTAATTCTACTGTTTTGTATTTTATATTTTTATTTACATCTAAAAATAAATTAAATAATTTTATTTTATAATCTTGGAATTATTTTTTAATTACATAATTAATATATATATCAATAATGTATTTAAAATGTTAAATTATGTAAATAAAATTTAATAAAAGGGCTCAAATAAAAAGTAAAATTTGATTTATTCAAAAGGTATTAAATGATGTTATGTATCTAATTAATCATAATAAATAAAAAATAGATAGAAATTTAGAGGTTAGAATTTTTAACCCCTCAAATTCCTTAATTAGATTGATGGATACTATTTAAGATTAAAATCTAACTCGAATATTAAAGCTTGGCATTTATTTATATTATTTAATAAGATATAATATAACACTAAAAAGAAATATCAAATGATTTAATAGTTTTTTTATTATTTAAAAGCTATTTATTAAATTAAAATAATTTAATATTTATAAATATAAAAATAATAATAAAATCTATCGATCTATATTTTAAGTTAAAATACTTTTTCAAAATATTATATTATAAAACATATAATTTTCAATCATTCAAACATTTAATATTTATTTATTAATCCCTTTTTCATTACTTGTTTATCATAAGAATTGTTTTTTAAAGACAACTAATCTTTTTGATTTAAGAAACTTGCTTATCTTGCTTAATACTTTGAATTTTTATAATTCATACATATTAAAACTTTTTTTATAAAAAATGTGTTAATTTTAAATAAATATAAAATAAAATAAACTTTTAAATTAAAAATTATTTCTTAAATTAATAAATAAAATAAAATTATAGCGGAATAAAAAAGATAAAGAAAATAAATCAGATAAAAACTATAAAATAGATTCAAAAGCATTTTTGTTTTTTTTTCCTTTTTATAGTTAAAATTATCACAATCCAAAACAAATAAACTATTTTTACATAACAATAAGTGTCAAGAGATTAATGCAATTTGCTAAAGTTGAACCTAAGCCTGATACACCAATTGAATCAACTCTTTTTAAATATTGAAGAAAAATTAATTAATTAGAAGGAAAAAATAAAAGAAAAAAATATGAAATAATAAGATTTATTAATTGATAATAAAAACAAAAATTGAAAATTAAATGATGAGCTATGTTAACAAAGAAAGAAGAAATAAAAGCAACCACAATAAACAACAAAAGAAAAAAGAACTTTATTGTTTTTAATTAATTTTATAATTAAAAATATCACAATCTAAAACAAATAAACTGTTTTTACTAAAGGTTAAGTGCCAAATTTGAGAGATTAATGCAATTTGCTAAACCAGAACCTAAGCCTGTAGTACCCATTGCACTAATTTAATTGTAACTTTTTAAATATTGAAGAAAAAATATATAATTAATTAGTAATAATATTAGAAGGAAAAAATGAAGAAAAAAATAAAGATAATTAGATTAATTAATAATAAAAGCAAAAGTTGAAAATAAAATGATGAGCTAAGTTAACAAAAAAAGAGGAAATTAAAGCAAGCACAATAAACAGAAAAAGAAAAAAGAAATTTATTGTTTTTAATTAATTTTTATAATTAAAAATATATCAATCTAAAACAAATAAACTGTTTTTACGAAATGTTAAGTTACAAATTTGAGAGATTAATGCAATTTGCTAAACCAGAACCTAAGCCTGATGCACCCATTGCACCAATTTAATTGCCACTTTTTAAATATTGAAGAAAAAATATATAATTAATTATTTAATTAGAAGGAAAAAATGAAGAAAAAATATGAAATAATAAGAATAATTAATTAATAATAAAAGCAAAAGTTGAAAATAAATGATGAACTAAATTAACAAGCAAAGAAGAAATAATAGCAAACACAATAAAAAGAAAAAAAAAGAACTTTATTGTTTTAAATTTGTTTTATGGTAGGGTAGCATTTATTAGAAGAGTCAATTAATATATTGTTGTAAATTGGATAAATTATTATTAAAAATTTTCCAATTATATTTTTAGTGGAGTTTAAACCATCAAATTTTTCATTTGAATATTGCTACATATTGAAATATTTGATAATATATTTAGTTTTATTAAAAATAAGTTAGAATATATTTGGATAATTTTCTATATTTAAAAATTTTACTAATATTATTAAAAATATCATATTTTCATTTCTATCCTTTTACCATAAAAAGCTAAAAAATAAATAAATTAAAAGACTATTTTTTTTTATTTAAATTAATTTTTAAAAACAAATATATCACAAACCAAAACAAATAAACTGTTTTTACTAAAGATCAAGTGTCAAATCTTAGAGATTAGTGCTCTTTCCTAAACCATAACCTAAACTTGAGGCACCTTCATCACCAATCATATTAAGCCTTTTTAAATATTTAAGAAAAATATATAGATAATTTTTTAGTTAGTTAATTGGAAAAAATGAAGAAAAAATATGAAATAATACTAAATTTATTATAGCAAAAGGTGAAAATGAAAAAATAAGTTAAATTAACAAGCAAGCAAAGAGGTAAATAAATAAATAAATCAAAAAAAAGATGCAAGAAAAATAATAAAAAAAAGAAAATCAAATAAAATAAAAAGCTCATACATAAATAAATAAATAATTAAAAGAATTAATTATATTGTTTTAAATTAATTTTTTTATTCAAAAATATCACAACCATTTTTACCTTAGTTAAAGTGCCAATTTTGTGAGATTAGTGCACTTTCCTAAACCAGAACCTAAGTCTGATGCACCAATTGCAGCAATTCTATTTTACCTTTTTAAAATTGAACAAAAATATTTTTAATTTGTTAGTTAGAAGGAAAAAATGAAGAAAAAACATGAAATAATAAGAAATAAATTAATTTTAAATCATTTTTAAATTAAAAATATCACAATCTAAAACAAATAAACTGTTTTACGTTAGATTAAGGGTCAAATTTGAGAGATTAGTGCTCATTCCTAAACCAGAACCTAAACCTGAGGAATCTTTATTGCCAATCATATTTCTCCTTTTTAAATATTGGAAAAAGATAAATAGTTAATTTTTTAGTTAGTTAATTGGAAAAAATGAAGAAAATTATGAAATAACATGATATTAATTTATTAATTAATTAATAATTATAGCAATAGCTGAAAATAAAAAAATAAGTTAAATTAACAAACAAAGAAGGAAGTAAAAAGTAAGTAAATAAAAAAAGGCAAGCAGAATAAGAAAAATGAAAAACAAATCAAATAAAAAGCTCATAAATAAATAAATTAAAAGAGTTAATTATATTGCTTTAAATTCATTTTTATATTCAAAAATATCATAATCCAAAATAAATAAACTATTTTACTAAAGATCAAGTGTCAAATTTGAGAGATTAGTGCACTTTCCTAAACCAGAACCTAAGCCTGATGCACCTTCATCTCCAATCTAATTCGATCTTTTTAAAATTGAAGAAAAAATATATCATTTATTTGTTAGTTAATTAGTTAGTTAGTTAGTTGTTAGGAAAAATAGAAGAAAAAATATGAAATAATAAGAAATTAATTAATAATAGAAGCAAATGTTAAAAAACCAAAAAATAATTTATATTAATATTTAAATAAATAAATAACTAAATAATAATAAAAACACAATCAGAATAAAAAAAAGAAAAATAAATCAAATAAAAATATCATTAATAAATTAAAGAGTTAGTTAGTAATGTTGTATTAAATTCATTTTTATATTCAAAAGTATCATAATCCAAAATACATAAACTATTTTACTCAAGATCAAGTGTCAAATTTGAGAGATTAGTGCACTTTCCTAAACCTGAACCTAAGCCTGATGCACCTTCATCGCCAATCTAATTCGATCTTTTTAAAATTGAAGAAAAAATATATCATTAATTTGTTAGTTAATTAGTTAGTTAATAGGAAAAATAGAAGAAAAAATATGAAATAATAAGAAATTAATTAATAATTGAAGCAAATGTTGAAAAACCAAAAAATAAGTTTTATTAATAAATAAATAATAATAAAAACACTATCAGAATAAAAAAAAGAAAAATAAATAAAATAAAAATATCATAAATAAATTAAAAGAGTTAAAAGAAAAATTAATAAAATAAATAAAACTATTTTTAAAATTCTTAAATAAAATTATATATAACTAACATAAATTAATATTTTTTTAAGATTTATTCTGAGTGCATTTATATGTGCGAGTATTTCTATTCTATTCTACCGCCAATCTAATTCGATCTTTTTAAAATTGAAGATTAAATATAAAGTTAATTTGTTAGTTAGTTAGTTAGTTAGTTAGTTAGTTAGTTAGTTAGTTAGTTAGTTAACAGGAAAAAATAAAGAAAAAACTTGAAATAATAAGAAATGAATTAATTATTTAATTAACAATTAAAGCAAATGTCGAAAAGTTCATAAATAAATAAATAAATTAAAAGAATTAGTTTTATTGTTTTAAAATAATTTTTTTTTCAAAAATATAATAATCCTAAACAAATAAACTATTTTTACCTTAGATAAAGGGTTAAATTTGAGAGATTAGTGCACTTTCCTAAACCAGAAACTAAGCCTGATGGACCTTCATTTCCAATAAAATTCGACCTTTTTAATTATTGAATAAAAATTATAAAGTTAATTTTTAGTTATTTAATAGGAAAAAATTAGATAACACATGAAATAATAAGAAATGAATTTATTAATAATAAAAGGAAAAGTTGAAAATGAAAAAATTAAAAAAAAACAAATAAAATAAGAAATAAATAAATAACAAAAAAACAATAATAAATAAAAAAATAAAATAAAATAAAAAGCTCATAAATAAATAAATTAAAAGAATTAGTTATATTGTTTTAAATTCATTTTTATCTTCAAAAATATCACAATCCAAAATAAATAAACTATTTTTACTAAAGTTCAAGTGTCAAATTTGAAAGATTAGTGCACTTTCCTAGGCCATAGCCTAAGCCTTACAAGCCTTCATCACCAATTTAATTCTACCTTTTTATATATTGAAGAAAAAATAAATAGTAAGTTACTTAAACTAAAAAATGAAGAAAAAATATGAATTAATAAAAAATTAATTAATTTATAATAAAAGCAAAGTTGAAAATGAAAAATGAGTTAAATTAACAAACAAAAAAACAAACAAACAAACAAAGATATAAATAAAAAAACATAATTAAAATTTCAAAAAGAAAAATAAATCAAATGAAAAGCTAATAAATAAATAAATAAAAGAATTAGTTATATTGTTTTAAACACATTTTTATATTTAAAAATATCACAGTCCAAAAGAAATAAACTGTTTTTACATTAGTGAAAAAGTCAAATTTGAGAGATTAGTGCACTCTCCTAAGCCAGAACCTAAGCCTGAGACGCCTTTATCATCAATTTTATTGAACCTTTTTAAAAATTGAAGAAAAAAATATTATTAATTTGTTGGCTAATTAATAGGAAATATGAAGAAAAAACATGAAATAATAAGAAATCAATTAAAAATAAAGCAAAATTTGAAAATGAAAAATGAGTTAAATTATCAAACAAATAAAAAAATAACAATTAAAATAAATAAAGAAAAAAAATCAAATGAAAAGCTCATAATTAATAAATTAAAAGAGCTATTTATATTGTTTTATATTCCTTTTTATGTTAAATAAAAAAATAATATTTTTTACTCAAATTTAAGTGTCAAATTTGATAGATTAGTGCACTTTCCTAGACCAGAACCTAAGTCTGATGCACCAATTGCAGCAATTTTATTTTACCTATTTAAAATTTAATACAAATTATATAATTAATTTGTTAGTTAGAAGGAAAAAATGAAGAAAGAATATGAAAGAATAAGAAATGAATTAATAATAAAAGCAAAAGTTTAAAAGAAAACTGAGTTAAAATAACAAACAAAGAGACAAACAAATAAATAAAAATAAAAAAAAACAAAAAAAGAAAGAAAGAAAAGTAAATCAAATGAAAAGCTCACAAATAAATAAATAAATTATAAGAATTAGTTATATTATTTTAATTCCTTTGTATATTTCAAAAATATAACAAAACAAAAAAATAATAAAAATGTTTTTACCTAAGATCAAGACTCAAATTTGAAAGATTAGTACACTTTCCAATACCATAACCAAAGCCTGATGCACCTTCATCACCAATTTCATTCGATCTTTTAAAATATTGAATAAAAAATAAAGACTTAAAGTTTATTAAAGGAAAAAATGAAGAAAAAATTGAAATAATATAAAATTAATTAAATAATAACAAAAGCAAAGTTGAAAATAAAAAAATGAGTTAAATAAATAAATAAAACACAAACAAAATATAAAAAAACAAAAATAAATCAAATGAAAAGCTTATAAATAAACTAAAAGAGTTAGTTTTTTTGTTTTAAATTAATTTTTATATTCAAAAATATCACAATTCTAAATAAATAAACTGTTTGTTTTTACCTTAGATCAAGTATCAAATTTGAGAGATTAATGCACTCTCCTAAACCAAAACCTAAGCCTGATGCACCTCCATTATCAATCATATTTTCCCTTTTAA